CAAATTTCGTCATAAATGCGTAAAATCTGGAAAAATATACGATTTACATGTAATCGGACAACATTTTGCGATAGTTCAATGTCTTATAAGCACTCGTAACTAGTTTGGACAAGGTATTTTGAGGTATGATTATCGGCAGCTAGAAAAATGTGGGCATATTTTGTTTCCTCCCTTGTCTTATATATAGTGCAAGCTGATCGACCGGAAACAAGTATTAGTGATTTTTGTGGTTTCGGAGCGTGACGATTAAATTTAATATCATATGCTTGCTTTACATTACTAAACTGTTTTAATTCCATAATTTCTATTATTTTGAGCAAGGGTAAGGTCCTGTACCGGGACGGCCCCATATACGTCCACGCATTGAGACGAATAGATCGTCAAGCCCCTGTGGTTCAGACCTGGGTATTCGACTATTGACAGTATTTTTATTCCATCTATTCAAAAATGCGTGATACTTTTCGAACGAATTTAATTATTACGAAGAAGTGTATAAAATATAGGGCCTAGCTATTTAATATGCTATCTCGGATATCCCAGGAAATATTTCGCAAACCAGAGCGAACAACGTTTATACTTAGATTGCCATGGAGATATTTCGACAATTGAAAATTCAACACCAATCGCAATCCTGGAACAAGAAGGGTATTCATAGTTACGGTAATAAATTCCCATTCACAGGTTATTATCTAAACTGTTGTTAAAGTTCATCCCACTGCATTAGAAAAGCACGAAAATGGGGGAGGGGGCGTTGATCTGAGCGTTAATTTTCTTTGCGATTCGCAAATCGAAAAAGAGTTCCATTTATTAAAATGTATTTTTTGGTTGGTGGTCAAAGTTCACCCCAATGCATGGTGTAGATCTGAGCATTAGTTTTCTTTGTGATTAGCAAATCGCAATAGTGCTCCATATATTCAGAGGCGTCGGCACGACATTTTGCATGGAGGAGCGGGATCTGCTCACAAACCTCGCGCCGAAAGCCCGACCTTACTAGGGGGTCCGGGGCATGCTCCTCTTAACAATTTTGAAATTTAGACCCTCTGAAATGCCATTTCCTGCATTTAGAGGGGCAAATTTTGCTGACACAAAGTATTTCAGCTTGATTTCGGAGGGGAGGGTAGACGCCCCCCCCCCCACCACCACCACCATTTTTCGAGGGGGAGAGGCGCTCCGCCACTGTTATTAATTTGCATTTTTGGGATGGTCAAACTTCAACCCACTGCATTAGAATTGACGCACGGGGGGTAGTAGATTCAGAAATTTATTAATTACATTTATTAATTTGTATTCTTTTGATACTTTGAGATTCCTAGATATTTTACACCTTTATATCAAAACAAATCCTCGATTTACTAAATACAATCTACTATAACAAATTACTATTAAAGTCTAGCAGTCCATTTACACCACGGTTGGAAGTTAAGTTGCCAGATAATCAAATATCAGACACCTATATTGTAAATATTTACTACACTGAGTTTTATTTATTCTTGTATTTTGGGTCACCGTGACGGACCATGCATTACAAAGAAGATCAATGTTAACAATTATGACACGATTATGACCCATAGGCAAGTTACTACGACAATCAATCCATTACCACGACAGTCAACAGGTCTCGCTTTATGCTGTCACACTTTCACAGAAATCGCGTGACCTTTCACGTGTGACCACGTTTTTTTAAGTTACTAATTTAGACGTTCTATCCTCATATTACTCCGCCATAATCGTAATGAGTTGAATATGTATTATTGTCCGGCGTTTCTGACGATAGCAGTCATAGTTTGGTGGTTGCCAGAGAAGTATAAAGAACAAGACGATTGCTGCAATGCAGAAAAAACATAATATGCACTATGATGCCAATTGTGTTGGTAAATATCTTAAACGTATCGATTTATTTCCATCCACGGTATAACGTACGAGATATGCATACAGAACAATATACCAGGAAAAGTATTTGACAATTAGTATATAATAATTGAATTTGCTATATAAAAGAAAATTCTTATGATATTTATATAAATATATACTCTGAAAAATCGATTATTCTATTACTATACGTGTTTACATACTAAACATCAATATGTGGGTAATTGAAAACTGAGAAATACGAAGCATAACATCACTCAAATCGTGGTTTAACAAATTGTAAAAAATAAATAGAATACTTCACAAATATTACCTGTTTAAGCTACGCTCAATGTGATCGACGATTTAATTGAGTATTATACAACTTTCACATTTTTGGGCAAAACGAATATACATTCCAGAAAATATTAATTACAAGTGTCGAGTGATTTTAGTATTTTCTTATTTTACACATGTCAAGAAAGCACGTATTACGTGTACAGTTGATATAATAATGTATACAAATATTTTCGTAAATCGTCGAGTTATCTATAGCTTATTTATAAATGCCTTAAGTATGACAAATTAAAACCGCTGCAAGTAGGACACAACATTAAACTGTGTTGATTAAAATTCGGTGTCGTAAATTGCATTCTTTCAGTTAAACACTAGGCGTGTCCAGTGGCCAATGACGAACCCATTGATCATACCGAAGTCTTTCAGTTTCACTCTCGTTGTCTGATATAGCAAAGTCTTTTTCCTTAGGTTGTTGGCGAGGACGTTTGGGTCTTCGTTTGTGACGTTTGCAAACCATGATACCGATAATAAAAATAAACATGGCCAAGCAGGCTATAGCCGCTATAATTGCTATTATGAATGTGGTTTTCTGATAATTCCCCAGATCCATATCGCCTGAAAAAAGAATACAAAAAGGCAGTTTAGGTTGACAATTTTGGAACTACTAAACAAATTCGCCCAGCAATGCTCGTTCTCACTCTTTGATATGACAAAGTCCTTTTCTGGTGTGGTGGCGTTGTTTTCGTTTTTTACATTTGCACACCATATACCGACAATAAAACTCAAAAGAGTCATTTCGGGCACTTTAAATAAGTAACATTGAAAGTAGCATGGTAGAAAAAAAGTAACCACCGAAAGTGTTGAAATGCTCTTTTATTGGTGATAGCTCGCTAACAGCTTCGGGATAACGTAACGTTTTTTTCAGTATGCCGTGATGGGAGGAATGATTTGATACATTACTCAATGGAATTTGAAGTAGTTTTAAATTTTGACACTTGTTTGACCTCTGACCCAATCTAAACTTGTCCAGTTTTCAGTATTTTCCAGGAATGCCAAAACAAATTTTAGACCTTCACGATGATTTTTGTCAGGAACGTGGGATTGTTCCTCTTCTAATAGTCAATTTGTCACAAAAACTAGGTCGAGGTTTACTATACATCTCAACAACGTGATATGCATAAATTTGGTGGTGATGTTAATATTGTCTTGTCCATACTTTAAATCGCGTTGACAATAATAATGCAAATACTATTAAATACAATCCGAATGAATAAAAGAACATACTCACCCTTTCCCACTTCGCCTCTATGAATGGTAACTTTTTGGATTGTGCTAGTTGTATGAATGGCTTCAGTAGTATCATTAAACTCGCCCATCTGGCCATTCTGTTCATCAACGGCGGTCTTATTGGGAATTAAAACTGCAGCACCTACTTCAATTTCGGTGTAGATAGCATCAAATCCAATACTTTGACCATAATTACTTTGAAATATTACATCAATTTCATTGGTAGAAGTTGTAATAACATTCGGAATTCCATATCCACAAAGTTTCCTAGATTTTATGTTTCCATTGGATTTGTATTCGAGAATCAGTACATGATCATAGTTTTCTGAGCATTCATTTCCATTTGCACTTGAATCAACGCCAAAGTACAAGAACTGCAACCGAATTCTTCTACCACCACCAACAGTTATGTGCCAAGAACAATGTTTATTAGGAGGGTAGTAGTTCGGAAAATTTGGAGAATAGAACGTTCCCGAAGGACCAGTCAATGTAAAATTACAAAGTTCAAAATCTTCACCAAGTGGTGCTATATCACGGGTTTTATATAAAGCTTGAAATCCAGTGCCATAGCCATATTTACTTTGGAATTCCACTTGCAACTTGTTCGTAGTGGTGAATATTGAAAGCGGAAGCTGGTTCCCACAATGCAAGGAAGAGAGTTCATCTTCAGTATCAACATCTGTGATCACCTTAATATGGTCATATACATCACTACAAGTTCCATTGAAAAGTTGAAAATCAAGATCCATGTACAGAAATTGTAACAAAATTGTATTTCCAATGGAAGTAGTAATTCTCCAAATGCAAGTTGAATGAAAAGGATATTGATTCGGAAATTTTGGAGATTGTATTAAACCATAGTCATTAGTTATGTCATAATTGCATTCGATTCTTGGAAGCTCTGAAGTATATGCAGGATGTTCATGTTTTTCTGTTGATGTTGTAGAGGATTCCGAAAAGGTATCTGTTGATGTTTTGTCTACAGTTAGTGTTACTATAGCGCCAGCAGTGGTAACAATATCACCAGGAAGATGCCTGTCGAATTGTGGTGGCATTTCTTTATATATAGCAGCAAATCCGGTACCATGCCCATAATTACTTTTAAATACAATATCAATAGCATTTGAGACAGTTGCAATTTTGTCAGGGATGTCTACTCCACACAGCGTTGAAGTTTTAACAATTTTTCCATTCTCACTGTATTCAACAATATTTAAATGGTCATATGAGCGAGAGCAATTTGTTCCAATCATCCGAGAATCCATATCAAAATAAAGGAATTTTAATTGTATGACCTTCTCTTCTCTAACAATAATATTCCAAGAACATATTTTATGAGGTGGGTAATAGCTCGGAAAGTTCAAAGAATGCAATATTCCCGATGGACCAGAGAGCTTATAGTCACAAGGTTCTAGAACATCTCCAGGTGGTGCTAGATCACGAGTTTTAAACAAAGCTTGAAATCCAGTGCCATAGCCATATTTACTTTGGAATTCCACTTGTAACTTGTTTGTAGTGGTGAGTATTGGCGATGGAAGCTTGTCTCCACAATGCAAGGAAGAGAGTTCATCTTCAGTATCAACATCTGTGATCACCTTAATATGGTCATATACATCACTACAAGTTCCATTGAAATGCTGAAAATCAAGATCCATGTACAGAAATTGTAACAAAATTGTATTTCCAATGGAAGTAGTAATTCTCCAAATGCAAGTAGAATGAAGAGGATATTGATTCGGAAATTTTGGAGATTGCATTAAACCATAGTCATTAGTTATGTCATAATTGCATTCGATTCCTGGAAGCTCTGAAGTATGTGCAGTATGTTCATGTTTTTCTGTTGATGTTGTAGAGGATTCCGAAAAGGTATCTGTTGATGTTTTGTCTACAGTTCGTGTTACTATAGCGCCATCAGTGGTAACAATATCACCAGGAACATGCCTGTCGAATTGTGGTGGCATTTCTTTATATATAGCAGCAAATCCGGTACCATGCCCATAATTACTTTTAAATACAAGATCAATAGCATTTGAGACAGTTTCAATTTTGTCAGGGATGTCTACTCCACACAGCGTTGAAGTTTTAACAATTTTTCCATTCTCACTGTATTCAACAATATTTAAATGGTCATATGAGCGAGAGCAATTTGTTCCAATCATTCGGGAATCCATATCAAAATGAAGAAATTCTAATTTTATGACCTTCCCTTCTCCAACAATAATAGTCCAAGAACACATTTTATAAGGTGGGTAATAGCTCGGAAAGTTCAAAGAATGCAATGTTCCTGATGGACCAGAGAGGTTATAGTCGCAAGGTTCTAGAACATCTCCAGGTGGTACTAGATCACGGGTTTTAAACAAAGCTTGAAATCCAGTGCCATAGCCATATTTACTTTGGAATTCCACTTGTAACTTGTTTGTAGTGGTGAGTATTGGCGATGGAAGCTTGTCTCCACAATGCAAGGAAGAGAGTTCATCTTCAGTATCAACATCTGTGATCACCTTAATATGGTCATATACATCACTACAACTTCCATTGATATGCTGAAAATCAAGGTCCATGTACAAAAATGTTATAGATATTGTTTTTCCAACAGAGGCAGTAATTTGCCAAATGCATGTAGTCTGTTGAGGATATTCACTTGGAAAATTGGGCGACTGTATCACGCCATGATCTGATGTTAATACGTGAAAGCAATCACTGTCAGTATGTTGTGTAATTTGTTCAGGTGGAGCACGGGTAGTTGCTACATTGTGACCATGAACCCGCTCATATAGTGGGATAATTTCTTTATAATGAATTTTAAATCCAGTACTGAATCCATAGTTACTATGAAAAATAACATCAATACTGTTTGTTGTAGTTATAATTGTATCAGGAATTCCTGGACTACACACCAAGGTTGACTTCACAACATTTCCACTTTTGGAGCTGTATTCTACAATTTGCAAATAATCATATGAAAGAGAACAATTTCCCATTGCCATCCTGGAATCAATATCAAAGTACAGAAACTGTAGTTCAATTACTTTGTTATCTTCAACAACAATGTGCCAGGAACATAATGTATTTGGTGGATGGTAGCTCGGAAAATACAACATGCCTGCAGGTCCAGTTTTGGTGAATTTACAGGGAGGCGATATGGATGTAGAAATTGGCGTATTGCTTGTAGTTTCCTCTGGCAATGTAATATAATCTGGCTCCAGAGATTCGAATGAAACTTGAAATCCAGTGCCTTGTCCAGACATACTTTGAAAAAGTATCTGTAATCTATTTGTAGTGGTAATTAACTCGGGTGGCAAAACCCTTCCACAAAATACCAAAGACTCGGCATTCTCAGTACCAGGCTGTGTTACAATAGTAACATGATCATATAAAATATTACAAGTTTCATTGATTGGGACAAAATCCAGGTCCATGGCAAGAAATTTCAAATGAATTATTTTCTTCAAAGGAACAGTTACTTCCCAAGTACATGTTGTGTGATGTGGGTACTGATTTGGAAATTGAGGTGATTGTATTAATCCATGGTCATATGAAATATCAAAGTTACAGTCACGTGTCAAGGACTGGGTTGTTGGTGACGACACCTCTTCAGAAATATCACCAAGACCAGGCCAATCACGACCATGATCTGCATCTATTTCATTATAAATTGCATCAAAACCAGTACTAAATCCATATTTACTTTGAAACAAAATGCGCATTTCATTTGATCCAACTATTATGACATCTGGAACAAATTTACACAAAGTCAGAGTTTTGCCAACTCTCCCATCTGTGTGATATTCTACGATCTTAACATTGTCATAAAGTTCTGAACATTCTTCACCATCGGTATGAGAGTCAATATCAAAATATAAAAATTCTAACCGAATAAATTTACCTTCCCCTACAATAATATGCCAAAAACACAGTTGATGAGCAGGGTAGTAGCTTGGAAAATTTAATGACTGGATTACTCCAGATGATCCAGCGATGATGAAACTGCACATTTCATCATCTGGTTGAATATTAGCTCGTTCCGGGCTATCAGTCATGTAATCAGACACATATTCTGCAGCAGCTTTCTCATCTACAGATTTAAATATAGCATGAAATCCAGTACCATTACCATATTTGCTTCGAAATTCGACTTGTAAAGTTCTAAATTTTGTAATTATTTCTGAAGGTAGTTCACTCCCGCAATACAATGTGGTAACTGCATCTTCAGTATCAACATCTGTTTTCACAACAATATGATCATATTCCTCACGACAAGTTCCATTGAAATGTTGATCAAGATCCATGTACAATATTTGTAATGATATTTTCATTCCAATCTGTGCAGTGATCTTCCAAATGCAGGTTGTATGTAGAGGGTAAGTACTTGGAAAGTTTGGCGACTGTATCACTCCATACTCTGATGTGATATCAAATTGACAGGGATTATTCTTGTCAATTTCAGTATCATTAATCAACAACTTTTCCCTAATCACATGATCTGTTGAGTCTTGTTCGATTTCTTCATAAAGAACATCAAATCCAGTACTAAATCCATACCTACTTTGTAATACAACATCAATTGTATTAGTAGCAGTTTTAATGATATCTGGCACTTCACTTCCACAAAGAATAATCACTTCTTCAGCATCTCCATGTGTACTGTACTCCTTGATCTTCATATGATCATACTGTTCAGAGCATTCAGGACCAATATTCATTGTAGAATCAATATCAAAATACAAGAATTGCAATTTGATGACTTTACCTGCTTCAACAATAATGTGCCATGTGCACAATTGATTAGGTGGGTAGTAGCTTGGAAAATTCAAGGAATGAAACACGCCTAATGGTCCAGAGGTGTTAAATTCGCAAGACTCATTAACTTGATTCACTTCAAATGATTTGAAGAATGCTTGAAACCCTGTACCAGAACCATACATACTTCGGAATTCTATTTGCAATTTATTTGTGAAAGTGTCAATATCCTGTGGAAGGTCACCCCCGCAAAACAGCATAGTAGATTGATCTTTCGTACCAATACCTGTTATAATTGCAATATGGTCATATAGATGATTACAAGTTGCATTGAAATATTGAGAATCTAGGTCCATGTACATAAATTGCAACACCACAATTTTTCCTACTGGAACTGTTATTTTCCAAATACATGTAGTTTGTTCAGGATACACTGTTGGAAAGTTTGGTGACTCGATTAATCCATGTTCGGCAGTTATATCATAAAGACATTCATCTTTTTGTTGTGGAATATCAACTGTTTGTGCATTATTCACTGAAGATGTTTCTTGTAAATTAGTAATAATACCAGTAATCTCAGTTGTTGGAAGATTAATGTCCATGGTCGTCCCAGGTTGATCTATCTCATTGTATATTGCATCAAATCCAGTACTAAATCCATACATACTTTGAAACGTAATTTCAATTCGCCTTGTGGATGTTTCAACTACACTTGGAATATCAAATCTACAAAACAACATTGATTTAATTACATTTCCATTGACATCATATTCTACTATTTTCACGTGATCATATGCCTCAGAACATCTGCCATCAACCGTTTTGGAATCAATATCAAAATACAAGAATTGCAGGTTTATGATTTTGTTATCTGCAACAGTTATGCGCCATGAGCACAGTGTATTGGGTGGATAGTACCCTGGGAAATTCAAGGAATGTATTACCCCTGATGGACCATATTTGTTCACATTACAATGCTGTTCAAGCTTGTCTTCATCGGTAACAATCGCTAGTGCTTTAAAAAAAGCTTGAAACCCATTTCCAATACCATATTTACTTTTAAATTCAACGCGTAATTTACTTGTTGTGGTAACTATTTTTGGTGGCGGATTGTGTCCACAGAATAGTGAAGTGACTGCATTGCCTGTATCAAAATCTGTAATGACTGCCACATGATCATACATATTGCTACAAGTTCCGTTAATTTGTTCATTATCAATATCCATATACAAAAATTGTAAAAATATAGGTTTGTTTGAAGGAACTGTTATCTCCCACACGCATGCAGTATGTTCAGGATAGTAGTCTGGAAAGTTGGGCGTCTGCACAATTCCTTTTTCAGCATATATTTTCTCAGAGCATGATTGTTCAGATGATGTACCACGAACATGGTCTATTGGATAAGTTATAATCTGACGGGTTGGCGTTGGCGTTGGCGTCTCTGTGGATTGTATATGCAGTTCAGTCTCATCTAGAATTTTAAGATTCAAAGTAGGGTTGAATTGGATCACATCGGAAGTAGATAGTACATTAACCTGATCAGAGGTTGAAATGCTTGATGGTGTAGATGTCTCAATGTGTTGTGCTTTCTCAGTAGTTGGGTGCTGGTTCAAAGTGTTTAAAAAAGTTTGTAATTGTGGTAGGGTTGTTGGGGTTGGGGTTGGGGCTAATGTACTTGCTTGGTCAGAAGTGCTGTTGAATTTATACATGCGATAATAAAGTTTGAAGCCAGTGTATAGCTTATTATTAAAAGTGTTAAATATCAATATCAATGAACCTGATGTAATCGGGCTTGGTAAATCTGCTCCACATAATATTTTTTCCCCAAGTGAATGACCTTGCCAATAATTAAGTACAACAAGATGATCTCTCTGGTCAAGACATGGATTGTCTTCATTAACTGGCGGAAGATTGATGTGCAAAAAATTAACCAGAATGTAACAGTTCGTACATGCTGTTATTTCCCACTTGCATGATAGGTGGTCTGGATATCTTAATGGGTATAAAGGTGAAGTTATGAAATCAGATTTGTTTTCAAATATGCCACCACATTCAACATTGTCACTCACAATGTTCTCTGTTGGCACTATAGTATCTGATTGTTCAGTATCAATAGCAGTGATAGGAAGGGAGGCGACAGTTGACAGATCATGTGTACCAAATCTGGATAGAACAGTCTCAAAATGCATCTCAAAACCAAGGAAGAAATCAACATTTTGAAAGCTTATAAACTGTAAATAGATGTTGTTCACTGGCAGTGTAAATTTCACCCCAGTCTGGAAGCCACACAATCTATAACCTTGTACAACTAAAGTGCCATTCACAGAAGCGTTAAGTAAAATATGGTCCTGTTGATAATCGCACAATCCATCACTTGATGGTAGCGGCATGTCAATGAATATGAAATTCATGGATATGAAACAAGTTTCACATGCTTGAATCGTCCATTCACAAAAAGAATCAGATGGGTATGGGGATGGGTATTTGGGTGATGTGACAATTTCAGACGGTTTCCCTAGTAAATGCCGACAATCATTGTTCAATTGATGCTCCAACGGACCCTTTGTGCTACTCTCGTGTATTTCGTCATTTAACTTTGATATGTCGAAAGCTGTAGCCAACAATTTTCTTCTGAACGATGTTGTGCTCGAAAATTCTTCATTTCTATGTTTTAATTCCATATCACCTACAGACATGGCGGCAATTCCTGGTAACAGTGGGAACAGATTCTTCGGATGTACAAGATTCCCATTATTACGTCTTTGAATGTTTGCAGGCATGGAAATGAATTCAATAGAAAAACCCCTTCCCGTAGTGTAACTGTCCGAATACTGAGATATTATTATCACGTTAGAGCTTGATGTGATGTGCTGCAACCCATGTTCATTGCACAGTGTACAAAGAAGGGGACCTGTGATGGTTTCCTCCGTGATATTCATATGATCACTAAACACACTACAGTAACCATGGCCAGTATTAGGAAGATCTACATCTTTAACAGATATACTTATCTGGGAACCATATGGAGCCGTTATCTTCCAGTGACACGAGAGATTATTGGTGTAGTTTTTCGGATATCCCAGTGACGTCACAATCCCTTCCTCTGCCACGATGGATCGTCCACATGCTACGTGAAACAGAATGGTTTGGTCAGTAAAATATCATTGAGCTGTTTTTAATTGATGTATACAATAAAGACCCCAGTACATGCGCATATGAAAAAATATACCAATCGAGGTTTAGGCTTGGAAGACAAATTATAGAAGCAAAACATTTCCAAAAATTATAGAAATTTAAGGTTTCACCCTGAAACGCCAAAATATGGGAGAGACCAGTACTGTATTATTAAATGATACCAGAGAAACATTTGTACAGGTAATGTTTGCATTATAGTAATGGGGTCAGCAAATGTCTATCTACATACCCCAAGCCAGCAAATTACAAAAAACTAGTAAAACTGTTACACTTCATTTTTCAAGCCCTCCACCGATGGGTGAACGGCAGGAAAGACCCTTATTGGGCTGAACATTCACATTAGAAAACTCGCTATAGTTATAATAATTAGGGCTTCAGCATTTGAACACTGGGGAAAGGAATTGACAATATGTGTCGATGGCGAAGAGAAAACAATTTAGAAAATCACTTTTTTATCTAAATGTGGGGGAAGATTAATGCCACACTAAAACATTCTTGTTAGATCAGGTTATAACGATTTTTTGTTTGTTTTGACGATGTTTTTAGTTGTAACACGTTTCTTGTCTTGGTACAGTGAACGGCAGAAAGCTGTACTTCACTTTATAATTGTATTTAAAAATATACAGATGCTCAGCTTCATTCGAATTTAAATATTTAAAAATGATTGCGCGCGCATGCTTCAGGTAACGCAGGAACTGCGACGGCCAAAGATAAAGTGCTTGCAGATCGGATGATGTTGAACCAACTCATCAATAGTTAATTAAAATTGGTAACGATGATGTCAGAATACCATTTCCGAATCGGTCAATTTTAATTGTACCAGCCATTTTGATTTATAACAAGTTTTATTTTACAAAAACGTTTATAAATCCCTAAGCTTGTTTGCCGTTTAATGCATGTCAATGAGAAAACTAAAACCATTGAATCCAGTGTGCACACAACTGAAAATCTGGCGAAAGAAAATTAATTAGGCCAAATCTGATATGGCATAAAGAGATTTCCGCTAAATTTCGAAACTAGTACTGTAACAACAAAAGCCGCAAATAATTTCCAGTTGAATCCCCCGTTCCAGTTCCGACGCTAAACGACGTGCGATCGATGCCCTTTATATGGAATTGATAAATTTACTTTATTTCAATCATAAATAAATAAATACAACGCGTAATTAAATTAAATGTATTGTCATCGTCCGAACATGAAATGAAATTCACGGTATTTGAAGCACCCGCAACACCGTGAATAAAACAAATGTCAAGTATAACGTTAGTAAAACAGTTGCCTTCAAAACTGAAACATTACTCCACACTACGATATCCCCTCACATAGTAGCGTTAGTGAATGGTGATAACGGCCATGTGCTTATTTTAATAGGTTGCTTGTAGACATAGAAACATTTTAATAATCTTAGGAGGTCACTATTCGAAAAATTACAAAATGTTATCTCGAAATGAACATAAACCATCAATTATCAAAGCAGCAGAGTTTTAAGAATAACAAATGGCATATATATATTTCACTAAAGTAATTACTACGAACTATAGAGACAATCTTTTTAAATAGCAATACAAAGACAAAACAAGTGGTAAAATATTTTATTAAAGGCAGATACATCAGTTGCTGATTCAACACTGAAATTTAGAAACAACCTATCACACTTTATTAAATTATTTAGTTTGTTCTTTAGGTTTCAAATAAAAGGAGAGAAATTGGGTGGCAACATATGAATTCGAATATAAGAATAAAACGAATACTACATGATCAAATCAGTATGCCGAGTGCTTAGTCATACTATCGTCATCACAAACCCTTTCTCTTGTTTTGTATAGTTGATTGGCAGTTGCATCCAACAAGCCAATCAACGAGCGCAGTGATGTTATTTGAAGATGTTCGATTATTATTACATCAATTATTAGAAATCCTTCGTTTCGGTTTAAATTGTAGAGTTTATACACATTTATAAAAATAGAAAAAAGGATTAGAGGTGTCGATGGCACTGATCCAGATTGGCAATCTCGTGCACCACACCCTGTTTAATCGCGAATGAATCCGTGTACATATCTAATGCACGTATATACTAGAGTCGACCTGCATTATAAAAACAAACATTCACTATATCTTGCATGTAGAGAAAAAATAGGTAAATGATTAAGTTTGATCGAGAGATTGTTACAACGGTGGATTTCTAAATAATCGGATGCTCGAAAGAATGTGCAGTGATATGGAGACTGGGGGTAGCTTACTGACCTATATCGGTGTAATGTTGCTTGTAATGATGAAACTATTTAAATTTACTGTAATTACAGGTGGCATTATAATTATATTGCTCTTTAACAAAGTAGTCACAGTCTTACCTTCATTCCATCTATCCACATCTGTTGTAGAGCCAGTAATAGATTCAACCTGCAGTCAATAATAGATTATATCTCGTTATTAAAACAAGTTATGAATATTTTGTTTGGTTATCTACACTGCAGTATACTTGTACAAGTTGAGTCGAAGCATACATACAAAGAAGAATTTAATACATCGAAGAAACCTGTGAAGTTGCTCTGACTAGCATAATCTCGTCTACAAGTTCTTGTGAGACCGAGCGGGAAGACAAGTTTCTCATCTCGCTCATCCTACTCGCTAACTCTCCCATTCGCTTATTCACTAAATGCACATACTTTCAGTGAATGTGTCAAAACCAAATACTAAATTAGTAATGTCATACATTTCAGTTGCAATCGAATCTAACCAGATGTAGCGTAGAAAAATAACGTCTAAGAAGCAGCCAATCAAAGAAAATGTTCCAATGACAATGTTACTCTATCGGCCAACATAAATCTCAGTTTCACCATTTATTGTAACATTTATAAAAATGGGTGTGTTGTGTCGGTAGTTTGTACTTGAAATCAAAGAATATAAGAGCGTACGTAATCGGGTGTGATTATTCGAGAACTATAAAAGCCTTGCACACAATTGATCTTTGGTATAACTCGTGGTTTCATTAGTTTATACCATTACTTTTCACGAGATGCGATAATTTCGGCCACCATTTCAAAGTTGTGTCATCAACAGAAATGTGCATGAATTGAGCGTTTCTTGACAAAGTCTATTACTCACCTGTGGAACTGCCGGAACCGACGACGTCACGCAGTTTTGAAGGAAAACCAGAAAAAACACGATGAGCCGCCTGTCCAGATAAGCCACGCAACCCTTTGTAATGCAGCTCATTGTATATTTCTTTTTTAACATTGACTATCGTACGAAGGAAAGAGAATTCGACATGGCCCGGTCGGGGAGACGTTTAAGAGCAGCACAATTTTGACGACACCTAATTGGTCCACAACAAACTAGTGCAACGTGTCTGATTTGCATATAAGGTGACATGCGTGGCATTGCAAATGAAATGTACTACTAGGTTTGTTGCACGTATGATTTAGGATTTTGAGGTCCAACGCAAGGAAGAGTTTTTCAATCTACAGTATTTTGAAAACAAATTGTATTGAAAAAATTGTAAAATACGATTTGTTATATTTATATTTTTTAATCTCGCGTTTTTCTGATTTTCTTTATAGATGCATGCGTTGACAAGTCGTGAAAGTCAAGTATATAAAACTCGATCTCGAACTTTAGTTTATTAATTTATTAGTCTCTATTATACAAACTATTTGTAGCACGTTCTACTCTAAACAAACATAGGATCCCGTAGTGAAGTCCGGGAGGGGCAAGATGACTGACATCCCCGACCATTAATTGTCAATCCTGCTTGAAGACATTTTTGTCTCCAGAAAATTGGTACGGTTTAGGGTTAAATCCAGTTTTAAATTGTTACCGCGGTTCTAGGGGCAATGTATAGTACAATAGTACTGGGGATACAATGAACCAACGAGATTACTTCCTGTTTTTTTCTGATTTTACGCCAACAAAGTCACAGTCGATTTAAATATACAGGTGTACATGTGAAACAAACACGTGTCTTTCTGTTACGTAATTCAGTAGTATCCATTAATTTCATCCAATTTAACCGAATACAAAGTTACTTCCCCGGTGGGTGTGATATTTGTGAGTTGGGACCCAATGAAGATTCGAAAGTTTAACGCTTGAATTTCGTTGACTGAGGTTATACTTCTGCATTGGATTGATTGATCTGAGCATGGAACTATAGTTTATAGTTCCATGATCTGAGTCAAACAATCAATTTGTTCTTCCCTCAGTCTCTGTTGACACACTTACACACTTCACGTAGTGGTAGGTTACCTTGTTGGGGCTTTGTTGCCCTTTAAATACTATTGTAGAATACTATATTTTCGCTTGGAATTTATTTTTGATATTTTCGCTGAAGCGATGCTTCAGTGAAAATAAAATCCAGCGAATGCTAGTATACTTGTTTTCATGTGTCACGCATTAAACTCGTCAACAATCAATGAAAAAAAAAATCCATAAAAAAAACACATGAAATATAATTCCAGCTAAAATAAAGTATTTCACAGTATATTCAGAATCAAATAATTCGTTTTCTTTATTATCCGAGGCCTTAATATAATCATTCATTCTACAGTGCTTTCGGGAAAGTCATTTCCATGTTTAGTTTTATAGTTAGTTTATCATTAATTTATCTAACGTTTCATTCAAATACTCTTTAGACAAGTGTTAGGGATTAGCAATGATAATTCCGTGTTACACGCTGTTACGCAAAGCCATTCAGATTTTGATGATACGGTACGCGCATGTGTCGATTGAGTGACTCCCGCTGCACATGTGCAGATTGGGTAATCCTTTTCAAGGGGCGTATTCGTCGGCGTTGATGTCACGGTGATCGTTCTGGTTGGTCAACTGCAGTTTTCAATTGTAAATATCAAATAATTGAAATAATCTTCTTATTGTTATTATTGATAATCATCCAAAAACACTTGGAAGTCAAGAATCGAATACCCGTTTCTACGTTGTTTTGAAGAGAAAGAAGAATATTTAGACTGACGTTTTTTTAGATTTTTATACGTAGGGTTAATTGCTGCATTAGCTGATTAGTATGTGCAGTTTAATCCCTGGTGTTGGACGCCAGTCCGCCAATTGAAACAAAAAAAATAACGAATGTGCCTCAGTATGTCAATCATTTTTTGAGTTTGAATATAATCACCGTCCCGGTGTTGAGGGACGGTGATATAATTGACCTGCAACTTGAAGACGATGCACTACATGTATAAAATCTAACACAGGTTTCTAATATGACCACTAGTCGGCAATTTTTAATCAGATCAAAAAAATACTAGATACCATCATGTATCAATGTACGTAAAAGGTTTGGAAACAATCTTCCATGAACTTCAAAGAAAACGTGACAGACGAAAGCTGAAATTACAAAAATATTCATTAAAAATTGAGAATTAATGACATCGTCATGATATGATCAAATCTCATAAAAAAGAATATATGTACCAAGTATAAAAGCAATAGTGGTAATGGTTTTCATTTTTTTAGTGACGAAGTCAATCAGCCTAGACATGCCTGAGGAACCTGCATAAGACATAAGTGTAAGACATAAATGGCCACCAGTTGGTAAAAGGTTGTCAAAATAGAAAACAAATTGACCTGCCTAGGTGTACCATTATGTTTTGTCTTTGTACTTGGTTCCAGCAACAAATTCAGTCATATGAAATGGCCAACAGAAAATTGTATTGTAACAGTGTTACGTTTATGCCATATAACAAATAATTAGTGTGAATTGATAGTGCACAGGACAGAAGTGTCAAAATTATGGTGTATACATACATGGTGGCCAGGGAATGAATGATTCAATTCAGGAAACAAAATTACATGCCTAAAGGTCCATGATGTTCATTATATCATAGACCCTCCAGTAGAGGGTCTATGATTATATGGACCAAGTTTGAATTCAATCAGTTAATGAGTAACTGAAATCCATTTCCAGAGTATATGACCTGATGTGCGAAGTTTAGACTTGATTAGTTCAGGCATGTACGAGATATGGCTCCATGGAACTGCATTTGTTTTAACAAGATGACCACCAGTCAGCAATTTTGAATTTAATGGTGATAAAAATCTGATGTGCACCTGAAATCTACAGATAATATACAAGATCCTGGTACAGATTTCGAAGCAGCAAACACTTTTTTTCTCTCCTACTTTTAGTTTTATACAAAAATGTCCTGTGTCACTATTGTAATCGCCAAAATGTGGGCACTCAAAGCATAGCATATACCCTATATACCAACGTTGTATATTAAATCACTTGCAAGTGGAATCAAAGAAATTTTCTCCTGTGTGCTAAAGTGGTTGAAAGCATGAAGTTTGAACAAGGAATACTGTATTTACTATATTAGAAATACATCTACAATTCATATGAAACAAAATATGTATATATTGCATGCAAAATCATCAGAGTATGTCTTATTTTGACCACTGACTTGTCTTTGTCTGAGATATTACAGTTATGCATATTAATGAGGTCACATGAGCCCATTTGTACAAGATAATTAATATAAAAAAATACCAACACCGAAGTAATCAGATCTGTGGATTACTCAAAAACACCAATTTACAATGTTTCATCAAAATTTAGTGGTACCGGTACTCAATATATCTGAATCATACAATTCGACTCTAAATTAACAATGTATATGGTTTATCTAAGAGCACCTATGTACAAGTACCTAGTTTCAATGAAATCTGATGATTGGCTGAAATATTGATGGAAATGCTAAAAATTCATGAATTCATATGCAAATTATGTCATTAATATGCAAGATTTCAATCAAAGACAACAGTTTTGTGTATTATCCAAGAACTACATTTCATTGAAATCTGTTAAATGGTATTTTAAAGACCAATGCAAAAGCTTAAAATTGGCTAACATGTGCACACACAGCAATTTTTAAACAAAATGGTCATTAATTTGACAAATTTGATCAAAACACAAAAAACCACAACCTACAATATCAGTGTGTAAACTTTCAAATAAATAAGGTGATATATTGATGAGGAATCTGCATAGAAATGAAAACTGGCCACAAATCACATTTTTGTCTGAAATATGACATGCATCTGACATAATATGCATGAAATCACCCGGTTCATCTTCAAGAAATTGTTCTCGACATGTTTAACCATGAGCAAATTTCACTACTGCATTGGCAGTCAGTCTGGCACATTTGACAGAATAATTTAATCTTTGTTCCAAACAGTACCTGTTTACTAATATTTTTGTTTTCACTAACGATTTTCAGATCATCAAATGTTGTGAATGCACAAACACTCAACTGAATGTGCTTAACAGGTGGTTGAATGCAATATTTTGTTTACTATGATAACTACTTTTTTAAAAGTCTTTGGCCCATTGTTCTACACAAAAGGAGTTAACCAACACAAAAACTATGTGACATGCGACAGGCTTCAAACAAAACCAACTAAAACTTTCAAAATTTGCAGTATTACCAGTACTTCATTAAAGTACTGCAACTTTGATGCTAACAGTAGTTAATGGCCTTTTTGGGATCTCTGTACTATCAAACGGCTGGAGCCCACACATAGAACCTTAATTTCAGGCCGTTAACGTCCTCGTACCTGTACTCCACAGACATACACATCCTTCCACAGCTTGGCTACAGTAAACAGACAACATTTAGCATTACATAATTATATTTTTAATAAATGGTTACAGCAAAATTAAACAGAACTTAATATTTCCTGACTATAACTGAATATAATATGTGTAAGGCCATACTATTATAAACCTACCAAGTCTCTGCATTGAAAACCTCCATCCTAAAAGTCTGGTACAACTGTTAGTACATTAATACTGCTATGAGTACATGGCATCTATTTCTCAATCTGTAACTACAGTAGGATAAAAAAAAACACTCAAAAGCTTAGAACAAGCAGCACATGGAAGCACAAATTTACTACATAACAAAACAGTCTCCATGATATGTATAGTTTTCAATGCAGAGACTAAAATGAAACTTGTTTACCAAATGAGCATGTGTATCTACAGTGCCTGCACATTCATGCACAATCTTGATATAACCAATTTACAGTTTATTTGTGGCCAATTATTTCCAAATAACCTACTTTCCCACAAATCATTGAATACCACATGGAATTTTCTACAATGTAATAATAACTCAGAATAAAATGAAAAAAACAAAACAGCAATGCACAAATATTTATCTCTGTAGAATTATTGTTTTTAAAGGTTTTTAACACACTAAGGCATGTAAAATTTTCTTCCTGAAAAAAGTTCACCACTACCATTTGCAAGAATTGCTTGGCCTTTGTCGAAAATCTTTTCCGACAAAAAACATACTGACTATAAAAATGAAGCTCAACCACTTCATCAGCTGTGCTCAGTTATCCCAAATAAAACAAACACTACTACACTAGCTAAAAGTGTGATACAGTCACCAAAACTTTAACAAAAGCTAGAACATAATATTTACTATTTTGAATCTATACTGTACAAGTAATGGTAAATGTATGCTGACAAAGTCACCATGAAAGCATGCATGTAAGAGTAAAATGGGCAATGAACTGTAATGGAGACTTTGTCAGAAAATGAGCGTTATTCATACGCTTGATATTGAGTCAACTCCCCCACATACATATATTAATACCGCCCACCCCCACAAACACACAAGAAAGGGTCAAAATTGTGAGTGAGATACTTCATTTGTGTAACCATACAAATACTTAGGAAATGAATACATGCTAAGAAATGACATGATTAATAATATAATTCAAGCTGTCCATTACATTTTTTATGTTTTGTTACATAAATTAAACACTGGGGATAGATTATATTTTTGATGACTGGGCCTAGTTACTAGATTTCTGAAACTACTTATTATTGTAGCTAGTGAAGCAACCCTCATAATGCCAAAATAACAATACATTTAGAACAACAGGCATTTCCCTTTTTATGATTCCTTTTATAAATTACTTCTCAGAAAACAGCTTGATGCTGTAAGTATGTCTACATACACAATATTTAGTGCTGTAAATTAAATGACCTTGTGTGAAAATCATTGTATTTTCCAGTTAAACAATGTATGATCTCTCTTTGAACTAAGACATCCAGTGAAGTGAAACTCCCCACAAATCAAAGTGCCATGTTACCCTCATAATTGGAAACTTAAAAACTGTATAAACCAGGCTTCGGAGAGGAATAAACATTGTAATAGCTGTACAGTTCAATATGACATAAATTCAACAACAACCACCTGATGATTGTTTTACAGGAGTACTTGCACCTTGAATTTTAACATTTTGTTTGCCATCTTGTGGCATGCTACCTGGTCCCATGCGATTCTTAATTTCTGCGGCCATTGTCATGAAGGCTTGTTCTACATTTGTTGCATTCTTCGCACTGGTCTCAAGGAATGGAATTTCCAGTTGGTCAGCATACTCCTAGTAACAAAGCATAGTGTTATAAAATATAATTATGCCAACTAATACATAAAATAAAGAAATAAAGTGTATGTTACACATCTGGTAGAGGAAATAACATCTTGACAACCACATAAATGTTACACATTATTCACAGCATACAACTTCTATGGGTGATAACACATTGAATTCCACAAATGTTACCCCATACATTATTCACAGCATACAACTTCTATGGGTGATAAAACATTGAATTCCACAAATGTTACCCCATACGTTATTCACAGCATACAACTTCTAGGTGTAACACATTGAAATCCACAAATGTTACCCCATACATTATTCACAGCATACAACTTCTATGGGTGATAACACATTGAAATCCACAAATGTTACCCAATACGTTATTCACAGCATACAACTTCTAGGTGTAACACATTGAAATCCACAAATGTTACTCCATACATTATTCACAGCATACAACTTCTATGGGTGATAACACATTGAATTCCACAAATGTTACCCCATACATTATTCACAGCATACAACTTCTAGGTGATAACACATTGAAATCCACAAATGTTACCCAATACGTTATTCACAACATACGAATTCTATGGGTGATAACACATTGAAATCCACAAATGTTACCCCATATGTTATTCACAACATACAAATTCTACAGGTAACACATTGAAAACCACAAATGTTACCTCATACATTATTCACAGCATACAACTTCTATGGGTGATAACACATTGAATTCCACAAATGTTACCCCATACATTATTCACAGCATACAACTTCTAGGTGATAACACATTGAAATCCACAAATGTTACCCAATACGTTATTCACAACATACGAATTCTATGGGTGATAACACATTGAAATCCACAAATGTTACCCCATACGTTATTCACAACATACAAATTCTACAGGTAACACATTGAAAACCACAAATGTTACCCCATACATTATTCACAGCATACAACTTCTATGGGTGATAACACATTGAAAACCACAAATGTTACCCAATACGTTATTCACAGCATACAACTTCTATGGGTGATAACACATTGAATTCCACAAATGTTACTCCATACATTATTCACAGCATACAACTTCTATGGGTGATAACACATTGAAATCCACAAATGTTACCCCATACATTATTCACAGCATACAACTTCTATGGGTGATAACACATTGAATTCCACAAATGTTACCCCATACATTATTCACAGCATACAACTTCTATGGGTGATAACACATTGAATTCCACAAATGTTACTCCATACATTATTCACAGCATACAACTTCTAGGTGACAACACATTGAAATCCACAAATGTTACCCAATACGTTATTCACAACATACGAATTCTACGGGTAACACATTGAAAACCACAAATGTTACTCCATACATTATTCACAACATGTGACTTCTATGGGTGATATACAGCATATGGCACATTGACAACCACAAATGCTAAACAATGTTAAAATTGCATTATACACATATTATACTGACCTTTGCCGTTGTGTAATCAACTACTTTCTTTGTGGTCAAATCACATTTGTTACCAACTAATAATTTATTCACATTTTCACAAGCGTAACGATCTATTTCTTGTAACCACTGTTTAACGTTATGAAATGACTCCTGTGACAGGGAAGGAAAAACAGAATTGTCATTAAAATGAGCTAATGTGTCATATGTTATAATCAGTCATAATTACTTAGTCATTGGTAAATTTACGTTCAATCACAAAACTAACAAATTTCGTCTATACCATGTTCAATTGACGACCTAACTGGGCACAATGTACAATACAAGATAGTGACAAATACTGAAACTTGTATTCCTTTGACAAAACTAATGATGAATGGAATTACAATACTGTTTATAGGATGTTGAGAACCAGCTTTAGAATTTACAAATCTCATCAAAAGAAATGAAATCAGTAAACATTCAGCTCAATTTTACAAGATTCTATAATGCTTAATAAAATCAAACCAAGAATGAACTTGCCTGGTCTGTAACATCGTAAACAACAATTATACCGTGCGCACCCCTATAATAACTAGATGTGATAGTACGAAACCTCTCTTGTCCAGCTGTGTCCCACTAAAAAAATGAAGAAATATACAATGGTTAGAAACCATACTTTTACTTTCACACACCATTATTATTATTAAGACATTAATTTTGTATTCTTCACATCGCTGACAGAAAATGTCCTAAACAGTGTTCACTCAGTAACATGCGACTGAAATAGTCATCAGCACATACTGAAAAATAATGGTAATACAGCTACAGTCAAATAAATTGTACTATAGTACAATTCAACAAGTCAGAGCATCGTACTTACTATTTGTAGTTTAATTGTTTTTCCATCTAATTCTATCGTTCTGATTTTCTAAAAGGACAAGAAATAAAAAGTAACAATCAATACAATGACCAGCAAATTGTAAAGAACACCAATGATGAGGACTAAATTTGTGGTGGTCATTGTGTTAAACTATTACAAATGAAGGAGGTAAACCAATGACCAATTCCACGAAAGGACTTGACTTCTTTGTGCAGTCTATTTATAATATCAAAGTTTCATGCATAAATGGCAACAAATGATGACTACCTACCAAGTAAAAGTTGTGTTGAAATCTCCATAAAGCATTGTTCAGAACAGTTCAGTTCAAAAAAAAAAAATTGCCTGACATGGCATTTACAGATATTCAATTGCTTCCCTCTCAAAGTACATTTTATTCAGCTGGTTGCAAACAAGACAACTTGCTGAACTTAACAAAATATGTAATACTTACAAAATCAACACCAATCGTACTGATGTAACTTTCTGTATATGTATCATCCTGTTTGAATAACAAAATATAAATTGAGTAAGATTACAAATTCTTTTATACTGTGTACTATTAAGTCGCCACACTGTATCCACACACTAGCAAATCTTGCTGTACAAGGAATAACAAACAAGTGTGTTGGTCAATCATGATTTAATATCAGTTTTTCTAAAAAGATGCAAGTAAGTCATAGCATTTTCATACTTTGTAGGTCACAATATGTGTGAAATTGAACGTAAAAACAGTACAAACAAAGATGGTAGTGGTGTCAAAAGATTATGTGGGATTCCACAGATGGGAAAGTATTTTGGGATATTTATGCACTTGATATGTAGTGAGCATATCCTGCTATGAAAGATTTGCATTTGAACATTGAAAGATAAATTAAAGTTCAAAATTAAGTATTTTCATTTTTGTGGCATTTTTTCACCCATTACTCAAGACCTTGAAGTAAACAGAAAATCATCTATTTACACAATTTTATTTTAACCATGCAACAACAATTACAAAGAAGCCATTAAACCAAGCACAATAATTAGGGAGTCATTCAGTTACTTACAGCAAAACGAAGTAACAAACATGATTTTCCTACACCAGAGTCTCCGATGAGTAGTAGTTTAAACAGGTAGTCACTGGAAGATAATGAAGCATGTCAGATTAGCAAGAATATGTATTAGGCTATCTACAGTGTAACCTGTACTGAACACCAAATGACCAAGAGAATTATTCAATTTATAGGGTTTTGACTGAACAGATGTCCTACAATTTGAATATAACCTTCATTCTGTCACCATCAAATGCTAGTCATCACTAAAGAATAGTATTTTAAAGCATCAATAGCCGTAATTGTTAACATTTTTTGTTTTTATATATAACCACATAAAGATGACAAATAACAATTGTTTTAGGTACACTTGCATGGCCAAAGTGACCCTGCACGAGACTAAAGTCACATAAAAAGTGACGTGAAAACTAAAGGTTGAGTAGTTGTAATTTTCTTGAAATCGATCATGTGTTGGGAAAACAGAGAAAATTATGATCCATGATGCATACTAACATTGGAAATGACATGTAAAATCATAAATGAAACCTTCTGAGAGTGACTTAACCTCTCAAGATGGTGACTTATTTGACATTTCGACCAGGGCCCCCACAAGTTGTCATCTTGTACCATAATTGCAGTGGTTAACTTGACAAAAATGGATTTTAATAGATGGTGCCCCCTGGAGACCTAGATGCAACCTCCCATGTTGGCTGGTTCCCGCCTCAAGTGTCATGGCGTACCAAGCCATAAGAGGCCGGTAACTAGTAACAGTTCTGGCATTCTGATTGGTACATCACTTTCTCGTTGCTTGTTGCTTGTTCCATTTCCCTTAGTTACCTGACGTCAACGCTTACGCTCGTGGCCGTTCAGGGGTTTCCTTTTGCTTTCGAAAGTTGGGCGAATAAAAAGAATTGTTTCTTTTGTTATAAATTTGCACAGAACATATCAAATCTGTAAATCTAAGCAGGCAGTATGTATGAGCATGGCTTTATTGTAGCATTACAGACACGTTTACGCAAAACGGAACTTGGAATGTTTTCAAATTACGTCACCCAGTCGCGTTCCTTCCGGCCTGAAAACAGACCCAAATGGAACAATATGGCGATTACTAGTTACCTGCGTCCTACCTGCCATTCGCAAAGGACGCCGGGAACCAGCGAACCTCCCATGTTGGCTGGTTCCTGCCTCAAGTGTCATGGTGCACCAAGCCACAAGAGGGCGGTAACTAGTAATGGTTCCATTCTGATTGGTTGATCAAGTTTTCATTCTTTGTTCTATTTCCCATGGTTACTTGTGGTACTTCTAAGTATAAAGCATGGGTTTTCCTTTTGACTTCACGAATATAAAACTGTTTCATTTGGTATCACTTTGCACAAAAACAGTGAAAAAAGCTAGAACCATCTCAAGTATGAAGTATAAGCAGGTGGAATGAGTGGACGCGGCATATTACAGACACGTTAACGAAGAAAGGAACTTTGAATGTTTTCAAATTACGTCACTCTGTCGCATACCTTTGGGCTGGAAGCCCAGTGGAACAATATGGCGATTACTAGTTACCTACTAGCCATTCGCAAAAGAAGCAAGGAACCAGTGATCCTCCAATGGCCATCTTTTTCCACTTATAAGTGATTTAATGTACAATGCAGATATGTGGCAAATATACTATTCTTTCAGTTTTTACACAGGAATTGTAGTTACAGCTCTTGTTATCATGTTTATGTGTTTTTACAAGACTGAAAAGTATCAAATCGACTTTGTCAAAACTAAAGTTGCCAGTGAATAAGTGAGCAAGTGTGCTCAGAGGTCACAATGGTAATGATCATGTACCAAACCACTGGTTTATAATTACAATTGTACCATTGTGATACAAAACACAAATTTTATGTATAAAACAGATTTGAAACGCATTTCCAGCAAAATGTGGCACAGCTAAAACTGTATTGCCTCAAGCAAAAATATGTTGGGTAAATTTATTACTATAATATTGACAATATTTTTTTCTGGTATGGTTCAATGCCATTCTGAAAACTGACATCACAGGAGTTTTTGCATTTTGATTATTATACCATGAAACAAGAGATTGTATTAACCACAAATTCCGTTCTACAAACCCTTAAATTGACTTCACTGAGACCCAAAACAATAGGCCTGGCCTGTTTTGTCAGTGTGTTTTCTAGGAATCGTACAAGAGTGATTAGATTGATGATGCATCTGAAGAATAACAGACAGGGACAGATAGAAGAAATGCACTTTCTCATCTGGCCATGCCAGGTACATGAAAATTCTAACAAAAATTCCAATCTCAATATACGTAATTTATATTTAATAAATTGATGATCCCTGAAGTAGACGCTACAAAATAATGACTTCTAAAAGAAATGGAACCACTAAAAAGTGGGCTTAATTATATATGCAAGAACAACTTCTGGAATACAATTAATTCCATAAATGCTTCTTCAACTGTTACCTCTTGTATGACAGTGTAGCATGAAAAAGAAATGACCAGCTGTTGCAGGAAACTCTAAAAAGATGGAACCTGAAAATAGGATTGATGTATATATTCACACTGTACTAATTCCAGCTTGTGGTCTTAAATACGACCGATTGTTTTGAAAATATAAAAATAATCAATGATTACTTCCTGGTTTTGATCATGCGAAGTGTATATTTATACACCTTTCAAATATAATCAAAACGCAGTTATGGCACACGAATAACGGGAAATCTAGCATTATATATATAGAAAATATGATCACAGATTAAGTTCCATAATAAATGGAGGATCGTGCAGAAAAAATGTTCGACTACAGAATTTGTTTCGTCAATGGCGTCATCGGGATCCACCTCTCTGTTTGGAAATCACATTATGCGCCATCACCTCGACGACACGGTACTTTCATTATTTACATACATATAAACACTCTGAAATACAGATTGGGCGTCTCCGATGAGAATATACTACATATACCGTGTTTCAATGAAATAATAGTCATATTTAGGACTCAAGTTTAGAATACTTTGCTTGCCGGTTGAAAATTTCCCAAATGGCCTCGAGTTTCGTCGTAGTCATCCTCCATTCATTACCTATTTCCAATATTTCGTCCTTAGATTTTTGAACAAAACATATCGATCTCGACTTACGAAACATCTCCACTACATACATGATGTATGTAACTAGAAACAATCAACATTTCGTTTATATTACGAGTCTACCAAGCATATCGGTCACAATTATCACGAATGGGGCCGACAACAGGCTAAATCAACTACGTCGCGTAAATACACGGACATACATTTTTTTCCATGACGTATTATCAAAATTTGGACTGTACTACATACACTTTTCACTTACTATTCAGGATTCATAGTTGACATGGCCTGGAGACTTCTCAATGATGTAAAATACGCTTATTTACCCGTCTCCGGTCTAAAATTTGGTTACGTCGCCGATTATTCGATGCGATCTGCCACGAAAGGAAGTTCCAAGATGGCTTCCCTTGTCTAACGTGCAATAGCCAATAGCTCCTATAGGGGGTCTCTAGTATTGCTCGATCCGACAATGACGTAATGCTCCAACGTGGCAACATCTGACCTCGCCCCTAATATGTATGATTTTATTACCAAACACCCATTTATTTAAGATTTTCCAGTTATTTTCCAGAAAAATAGCAAACAGAAACATATATTATTTTTGAAGAGTCTGCTGTAAAATAAATTGCATATAGATCGGAGCTTGCTCAGACTTGGGGTTGAGAGTGGCACACCCCTTCCGTTCTATTCAAATGGCGGTGATGATGCGTCAGACCTGACCGCGGCCAATGTCCATCGGATCTTGCGGATAATCAACTTCAAACTCTTACTCTTGCCAATATCATTATTAGACTATTCCATAGTGAGCATAATACAAAAACGACACAGATATGTGGGTGTGGCTCAGCAGATGAAGTATTAAAATACACCGTGATGATGTACTCCATATTACATATTTAGTAATTTACTCAGTAAACACAATTCTCCACCATTTTGCAGTAGTTGTATAATACAGCATAGATTTATATTTATGTATATACGCACAGATGAAAATATAAGTTTGGACAATTACGTCGTATTTTATAACTGATGTCACAGACCACAATATACCCGATCTCAGCTTATTGTCTACTATACAGACGGACTTTACTGCATCAATTTATGTGAATTTTGATTTGGTGTGAATCTATAGCACTTATAATTAACCTATACCAGCCCCATGGGTGTATTCGAATACTAATGGAGGCAAGAGGGTATCTGATTAAATTTGACAGAAAAGTTAATCTGTACTTTACATATGATAATCATTAGAAATGTTCTTAATTAGTTATACTACTGAATTAAATGTTCGTTTACGTTTTTTATTTCGAAAACAAATGCAGCCAACATTATCCTGAATCAAATTATTGATTCCACATCTTTGAAGATTTCAGTATGCTACAGTAGGACACGTCCTACTAGAGTGTGAACGCCTAATACGGTAACGTTCGCGTCCCCGTTGTTCACGAGAATGGCATACCGGTGATAGGTTAGGCAAACAATGTTTCCAAATGTACCCATATCTTCTCACCTACCCAAGCTTTTAGAGAATGTGTAAATTACTACTACCACCTCTACTACTCAATATATGATATACATATGCATATACATATACAGGTCTTCTTCAAGTAGGTCACCTTCAGAAAAATTATTTTCGTTTATGCTGTATCAACTCGTGCATTTTAACAACGTTTAATCGTCTTTATTTCAATCACAGCATTTTGTTAAAATTTAACATAAAATATAACAACACTAACCTATTACACACAGCTGTAATTGTTTTTTGTTCTCGGGCCGTTAATACACATCATAAACCTTTCGGCAAAACTTGACAGATGTGTCAACACAAATGGACAAGAAGTATATTGCACACATACCAAGGTGTCACATACTATACTTAGATTTATCCAAATTTATAATCCCCCCCCCTCATCAGCTCATGATTGAAAGGGGTGAATCGAATGCTATCCTATAAGTCGGGCGAGTAGGCCTGATTGGATGTAATTTAATTTGGGAGTATTATTTTGTTTCGAACTGTCTAAGGTTGAATACTAATTGCTGAATACTGCTATGTACCGCTTTCTAGATAGAAGATATACACGTAAAATTATGCATTCTCTGACAGCGACACATTTAGGGCAATGCATTTGTCCCAGCTTTAGCGAACGCAACAAATGTTATGTTTGTTTTATATTATTCTCAATAATGTTTTCAGCGGCAAGTTTTTTTTCTGTATGTTTTCAAGGACAATTTAGTACGTGACATAGTATTACATTGCATTACGTATACTTGACTATTGTATTATGTTTCACATTTTCGATACGCGTACATCGAAACGACTCTTGTCATGTGACAATCGGTAAAGTAAGATTGATCACATTACTGAGAAATGAAATACACATGTAACATATGGTGACGTAGAACGGTTATACGTGTACTGCATAAATGAAATCTTGAAAATAAAATATCGATGATGCGATACTTGAAACTTGCTTTACTTGGAATCCGAAATCAGACTTGATACTTTTGTGAAATTTGTTTTCTGTTTTTTTATGGGAAGCCCATGAATACTAACTTCTAATGGACAATACCAGTTCAATGTCTGTAATCTCAATTCTTGCCCGACCGTATATTTCTTTACAAGCCTACAGTCGTGAAATGCACGCTCATACTTACTATTCAAATGTCCACCCATACCTACAATCTCAATACATGT